AGACACAGGCAGAGGGAGAAGCAGGTTCCCTGCAGGGAGCCCAGTATGAGATTTGATCCCGGACCCCAGGATCAGGCCCTGGGCCGAAGGCAGGCACTAAACCGCTGAGCTACCCGGGCTGCCCCTCCTCATTCTTTCCTTCATCCTTGCCACAGCCCCTGTCTTCATGCCCCACCACCACCACCCCACCCCACTACACAATACACACACACGATCATCAAATACATTCCCCTTTAATTGCACACTGCATCCTTCATGTAAAGTGCAGTCTGCTGGACCACACCATGAGACCTTCTGTGGGGGATGCACTTCTCCAGAAGCAGTGGGACCGTAGACCAAATTTACCTTTGGAGAAAATAACAAAATCAGAATGACTCAAGGTTCCTTTGGAATGGTGTTGTTGCTCCAGTCCTTAATCACAAACCTCAGGAAGCTTTTCTATCGATAAATGCTAGAGGTTTCATTTCCCAAGATTCTGTGCAAAGCCAGAGGGAGGCATTTTCCTCAGAAAGTAACCACACAAAAATTGCATCATGCTAATTTAATAGAGTAATGACTTCGCTTGGATTTTGACATTTCTTTAAAAGTCTTATTCGCTTCAAAAAGAATCCCATTCACACAAACACTTAAACTACTTGCTTTGCTTTTCCCCCCTCACAATTCATTACATTATAATTATTGAAATGGTGAGGATCAAGATGTTGCTAAAAAAGAGCCGACGTGAAATATTCCACCATTTGTGAAGAGTGTTGTGACCTCTTGTGCTTTAATTTAAACTCCTCATGTCTCTTTGAAGTAGACGGAATGATATGGGTCAGAGTTACATAATCTGTCATCTTCATAAGCTTTGAATTAAAAAGCAAAATAGAGTTTAATATTGCCACTTGCCTTCAACAATCAAACTGAGATGGTAGTGAGTGTCTTGCTCAAAGTCATGGATTGACGTGACCAGCACAAGATAGTTTTTCTAATTTTTAGATTTGTTTTTTTTAATAAAAAACTGAATCCTACAGAGTCATTATAGGATCTGCCCACTAGAAGCACAGTGGGATCTAAGGCAGTTGCCTTCCAATGCTGGTCTCTGATACAGTGGAAATACCCAGGGAGCTTTTCTGAACAATGCAGAGGCTCAGATCCTAACCCCAGAGGACAGTGCACAGCCAGGTGTAGGGACCACCAACTAGGGCTTCCCAGGAGTGTTCCTTGAGACAAAGCCTGATACTGCCCCCCAAAACTTGCAAAGAGGCATTACACATGATACCTACTTCAGAGACTTATCACACACCTCATCATTTTATAGGATTTTAGAAGCCCTGCGGGAAAAAGACGAGCTTAACCCAGCTTTTCCCAACTTAAATGATATGTGACCATGGAATCCAATTTTTGTAGCACTCAATCAGGATTTTCCCAGGATATGTTCTAGGGAAAAATAATCTATAGATTTTCCAACAAGGGCTCCCCTAAGGGTGAGTTCCCTAGCAATGAGTCTCCAGGAATGGGGAAGAGTGCGCAGTATGTGTGTTTATCAGAGTATGAATTTATTAAGATTGGGAAGCACTGATCCTAAAGAATTAACGTATATTTAGTGTCTACTGTACGCTAGGCACTGGGATGGGTTCTCTACCCACATGGATTTATTACATCCTCACAACAGCCCCATGAGGTCGTTATTCAAAGATGAGGAAAATGAGGCTTTGGAAGACCCCCCTTCACTACAGTAAGAGTGAACTCTGGTTCTTTGCCATCTGCTTGGCTGTGGGAGGAAAGGAAAGTGAGACGCAGAACAGTAGCACTCGTGGCAGTTGCTCCTAAAACCTTCATTTTCCAGAAAGGCATTCATTACAGAAATAATATTCTACCCATTTAATTCATTTTATAGTGCTTTTGTTTCTTGAGAATTTTCAAACTGAGCATCCTCCCATAGGTTTGTGATGGTCACTGTCACAAAAAAGTCACAGTATTGCTCTATTTAGATTGTCAAGATTTTAAAGAAAATTCATAGCACTGTCTTCAGCATCTATATCAATGATCAGTTCTGTGTGTCGGGATAATTACCACTCTTTGCTTAATATTAACCTTAAGCAACCAGGCCACGACCTTGGGTCCTAAGTCAAGGAAAGAAGGAACCGCTCCCTGAATTATCTCCTGTATGGAATGTCTTGATCCGGTTGTTTTATCATTTGTTTGATCACCCTAAAGTAGGAGGGTGTAAATACCATGGAGGTCAGAGCTTAGGGGACTGCAGTGAGATCCTGAGAGTGGGAAAGCAGAGGTGTTCCACAAGCTGAGACAGCTTATCCCAACTGCCAGGGGCCTTCACATTCTCCCATTTCTTCTCTCTGCCTCTTCTTCCAGGGCCTCTCTCCTTCTAGGTCCTTCCTTCTTCAAAGTCTCTCATTTTGTTTCCCCAGTCCTTGTCCTAGAATAGCCCATCAGATTTTCTGCCCTGCCACCAGGCCATCCCACTCCCCACCCCAGGCTCTATTTCGTCCATCATGACGCAGTGCTGGATTTCCATTCATTGTCTTCACTGAGATTTATATTGAGGGCCAATATGAGAAGTGACCATATAAATAAATACCTTCTGGAAAACTACTTCTGAAGGTGTTGTATGTTATAGCATTTAGGGTTCCTCGTGGAGAAGGACCGCATAATACATAACCTTTTAGAGCTCAGTGATGAGGTGATATGGTGGGGAGCTAGACTCCTCCCCTGTGGGAAAAACAGGATGTTTTCCTTTTTGACCTAGAAAAAAGTTTGAACCTCAATTACAGCATTATATAATATTTTCTCCTATTTCTATTTTAGAAGCCGTATTAAACACACATGTGTCACCTGCAGTTCTAAAACTAGCAGGAAATATGATGTCTTATTGATTTTTGAGCGCTGCGTATTTGTATTTCGAAAGCCCGAGTTGCATTATAATTCTTCTGTTCCACAATTCAAATCAGCATGCTCTCAAATTCACATATTAGGGGAAGGACGATTATCATTAAATGGGTACCTCCAGGAGTCTCCCCCCAATTTTTAAGTGGCTTTTTCTTATTACTACAGCAATGCCCATTTATCACATAAATATTTCTGTGGGCGAAAAATTAGATCATTTGTGATCTCACCAATCATCAGCATTTCAGCCTTCAAATGTGACTAAAACTAAAAAACATCTTCCTACATCATTGAGGGAGGTAGGAACACCTGCATAGAACCTATAATTAATGGATCTTAAGATACTTCCAGAATGCTTGGACAATAGGAGCCAGGCAGAGTAGGTCAAATCAATAATATTTATTTTTTCCAAAGATATAAGTAGGTAGTGCAATGATTCAGAACTGCTTTATATCTTTTAATTTTTGAATTAATTTTAAAAATCAAAGATATAGATTGAGAAGTCAAACCCACCACTATCTTTATCCACCCTATTCCTTTACTTGGTTTCCTGTGATAATGATCTTTTTAATTTTTAAACCACCTTATCAGAGTATGATTGACATATAAAAAGCTGTACATGTTTAATATATACAACTTGATGAGTTTAGGGATGAGTCTATACTCATGAAACTATCACCATCATCAAGGCCATGGACATATCCATCACCTCCCAAAGTTTCATCCCCCTCTTATATTATCATCATCATCATCACCATCATCTAAGAACACCTAATGTAACATCTTGCCTCTTAGCAAACTTCAAGTGCACAACACAATATTGTTAGCTGCAGGTATTAGGATGCCGTATAGGGGATCTCACGACTTATCTTTCATAACTGACATTGTATCCTTTGACCATTAAATTTCTTGAGTTGGAAATAAGAATACATATTTCCTACTTAGACAAAATGTGGCATATTATATATGCTCTTCCACACCTGGCTTTTTTTTTTTTCCAGTTAACAACCTGCCCTGGAGATCTTTCATATGAAAACACAGAAAGCCTTGTCATTTTTTTTATAGCTGTGTAATATCCAGTTCTGTGGATGTACTGATTACTTTGTCATCCACAGGCCACCTTTTACTATTATGAATAGTACCACCATGAATGCGCATGTTTACATCCTCTTATACATACATAATTAAAATACATAGGAAATTTCCCAGGATTAAAGTTGCAGAAACACAAGATAAGGGCATTTTTTGTTATTTTGGTAGATATTGTCAAATTGCACTTTGTAAAGATTATGTCTTCCATTTCCAACAGTATGTTTCCCCACAGCATCGTAATTATTTTTATTTTAAAACCTCTGGGTGATTTTTTTAAAAACAAATTCCATTCCAGTGGTGCTGGCTCATCTACTAGAGCTCTTATTCTCTGAGCTCAAACCAGTTGCTTAACATGTTATTTTGAAGTTGGTTTAGTCAACCCTTCATTATTTCTTCACACAGAAAGGGGCCAAGGGCATGTCTGTCCACAATGGCAGATGATTCTGTAGTATTTCAGTTCAGCTTTCAAATATATTGTAATTATTTCTCCATTGAAATTTCTTTCCTATTGATGTCTGCATTCAGAAACATCAACTCAGAGTTTTTAGCAGAAGGTAGCTGCCGGTAGAAGAAGGCGGCCAAGAATTGGAAAGAAGTGGTTATAGGATTCAGAATGTTCCCACTTTATCTCTGGGATCATAGATGATATTTTATCCTTTTTGATATCTATACTATACATTCTTAAAACCTTACAATGTGTTCAGTTTACTTGTATAAAAAAAATAGATTCATAGTTGCAGTTAAAATGAAAGCCCCAACACACATGTAATATTTAATTGCTCTTCAGCCTGAGAAGTGTAAATCCCTAAGGGAAACAATACAGTTTTAAGTGGCACTAATTAATTGGTTAATATAAATTTTAATGAAATCAGTTCTAATATATTTAAAACTACTCCTCACTTAGAGAGTAGAGAACCCATATGTAAATAATAGAGAGTTTATGGGGTTGACCATCTGGGTGGGGAGGGAGGCAGTATACAGAATACAGAGATGTCTGATCCAGCCTTTCTCTCCCCTTGCAGCATCTTCCTCAAAGAGCTGGAGAAGTATGAGCAGCTGCCTGAGGATGTGGGACACTGCTTTGTTACCTGGGTAACTGACCTGATCTCCTTCTTCTCCCACTTGCCATGCTTTCCAGGAGTGCAGGTGGTGTCGGATGGCATCACTGTTCAGTGCCTGACCTGAGGATCGGTGTCACTGATGTTCTAACACAGGACCAGGGACTCTAGGGAGGGACAGAAGTAGATCTGAGAGAAGCAGTCTGTCCCCCAAGCAGCAGAGTCCTCCTTGGGAAAAGTCCTCAGACATTGTGTCCAAGGTCCACATTAAGTTCTCCAAGAACTTTCTAAAATTGAGATATCAAGAGAGTGGAACATCATCACCACCCTTGATCAAGAAACTATTCCAGTTCTATCTATCTTTGCTTTGTTTGCATTTTCACTAGATAAGGATTAGGGAATTAGAGCTTTAGGAATCCACCAAACAACTGGTTACATTTTCTTCCTTAGTAGAAAAGAACAGATTCCATGAGTATCCATCCCAGTTCGACCTACAGAATTAGCATCCAACCATTTTCTTTCCTGGGGCTATTGTCAAGGGCCACATACGGGGCTGAATGTACCAGGTTCTCATTATATGAATGGAAACTTTAGTCTCCGTTAGCATGTCCACACCATGTTATTCGGAGCTCAGGTTTGTGATAAAGTACAGACATCTCCAGGGAAGTCCACCTATGATAATAAATGCAACTAAATGTGAAATTCCTTCCCCAGGGTCAGGAGTTCTATTTAATAATTATCTCATTATAATTTCCACTCAAAATGGGCTGCTTTTCAAAATGTCTTCATGATTCAGCGAGTTTATGCTCTCAACAGCCAATGGAATAGGCAGGGCTACGATTGTGCTGTATATTTTATACATGGAAACAATTCAGATGACCTAGGAAGTTGACTAGTCCACTGGCATGTGACAAATGTCACAGCCAGTCCCACAACTTAAGACCTGAATGATTTTCTTTACATGAAACCTTAACATTTTCTTCCTGGCATACTCTGATTTCTTAAGGAGTCTCAGACTGACATCTTATTTGGGTTAATATATTTTCTACCTCTAAATACACGAGCTCATGCACAGTTCATATTAATGCTGATAAACAATTTATGATCCCTTGCACAGCCAATGCGGAGAAAAAAACAAGTGAAGGGATTTTTTTTATATCTTTTTTCATACAATTTGTGGATCTGCCTAATAATCAACTAGAAGTATGATTTATCAGCATGTCTTAGGGATGATGAATACCTCCCACATAGTATATAAACCCTAAAATTGGTTTCAGAAAACCTTTGATGATTGCATAAAATATGCACATTTCGCCAAAGATTATCCCAAGGTGACTTTCATAAGCCTCATAATATTCGCATGTGAGAGTAGAAGGAGTTGTTTCAGTGTATTGAAAGGCCATGGTTATGACCAAGAAGCCTGACGTCAGCTGACCTGGGCTTTGTTTCTTTCTAACTGTGGGAATTTAAAGTTACTAACCAACTTTAAATTGTCACAGTTTTCACCTCTGTAAAATGAGGATGGTGATGATAGAGCTCACTGCATAGGGTTCTCAGGAGGATCAGATGAGTTAAGATATATGAAAAGCACTTGGAAAACTGCTGGCACAATGAGTCCTGCGATAATTAACACATATCTAGGCTGCTTCCACAGAAGAGGACATCCCACATGTTCTCTGACAGCATTTCACAAATGGGGAAGGTACTCGGTGGCCAAAATACACGCACCTTTTCCCAGTAGTAAGGACACATAGCACTAACCCAGAGGGTCCTAAGAGAAATAAGAAATGGATTTTCACCAAGCTACAAAGTTCTTAGCTTGAAGTAACAATCTGGTTAGGACTCATTGTTCAAGTCCTTCCCCAAAGGGTCACCTTGCTTTCCTTTCCCCCTACCACTGCTTCTGGGAAGTTGGAGATAATGGCATACTCACTTGGCATGCCCTACAAACCACCCCCAATGGGGACATTTGGAGTACAAGCAGACCTACCTCTGAGGTCACACTTCGTTTTCATTCTTTGATTTTTTGCTTTTAGAGCAAATGCTGTCATTTCTCAAGAGGGGAAGCACAAGGGTAGGTAATCCAAAAAAGGGATAATGCCCGAATAAATTCTATCCAACTTCAAAATATGTTGTGTGAATTGGTTTTTCTAATTCTTTCTAGCACAGACTAGTATTAAAATAAGCTCACTTTCAGCAGGCTTTCTCCACCTGCAGGTAGGAGAAAAGACATCCAAGAGTTTGTTAGGGGAACATGGGCCAGAGAAGCCCAGAACATTTGCCACAGATAATCCTGTTGCACACAATATCTGAGAGCTTAACTGCACAGCCCTTGCTGGGCCCTTCACGCACATTCAACAGAAGGGAGCAACTGATGGATGCTTATCTATTATTGCCTTTGTTCTTTTCAGGCAGACAAATTTCAGATGTACGTCACCTACTGTAAAAACAAGCCTGATTCCAACCAGCTGATCCTGGAGCATGCAGGCACCTTCTTTGATGTAAGCTATCGATTTTCCCTTCTTGAGCCACTGATGAGCCTGTGGAAATGTTTCTCTGCTTTGGGAAAATGGGTTTTTAGCCTTAATTCCTCCTTTCTTCTTTGGCCACCCAAACCTCTATCTCCTGGATAAAGCGTGGAGAAAACCAGAAGCAGTGTTTGTCTTTTGTTTTACCCCATCCCAGCTCAAGCGCTGGGGTTTTAGACAAGGCACATTTGCCCTCCATGCCTCAACACCAAACAGAACCAGCCATAAATCTCACGTAGAGAGGGGACCGATGGCAACACAGGTGTTAAGATGCTGCGTTCCCACATCCTAACACAGCTCCCTCAGATGCACGGGTTCCTAAAGTGCGGTCCCCAGAGCAGCCACATCAGCATCACCTGAGAACTTGTTAGAAATGTGTATTTTGGACCCTCCCCCGACCCAGGTCTGTTGAATCAGACTCTCCAGGGCTAAAGCCAACAATCTGAGTCTTAGGAAGCCCTCCAGTGACTGGTGCCCATCAAGTTTGAGAGGCCCTGCTCAAATGCAATTGTTTCAACCTTGACAATACACCTGAATTACCTGGGAAGCTTTGTAAAACACTGATTCCTGGGTACCACCCCTGTGATTCAGGTATGATTGGCTTGGGTGTGGCCCAGACTTTGAGTTTTAAAAGTTTCCAGGTTAGAGTAAGTGTAGCTAGGGCTGAGCACTGGTGTGGTCGTGGAAGCCGCGCGAAGTCGGCCCTGGTATGTATGCCTTGTCGGATCCCTTACTTCAGAATGAGGATCCAATCCTCTGAGTGAATGATGGTATAAGTCTACGTGGTGCTGGTCCCCAGAGGGTGACCTGGTGGCTCTAAAGTGAACAGAATTAAATGGGTTGATGCAGGATACAAGGGAAGAACAAGAAGGAGAGAAGAAATGAGGTGGGGCGGCGGGGACAGGGAAGTTCAGTGAGATAAAGACTGTCACAGTGATGGGCATTACGTCAGTCCTATCAGAAGTGACAGCAACTTGAAATTCAGAACTTTTTAATGTTCATCAATGTGTCTTTCTGCCTACTTGCTTTCATTTCTTCCGTAAATATTTGAGTATTTATCGTAGAGAAGATGGTGTGCTAGGCCCCTGGGGAATACACACATTTACACGTCACTCCCATACACAAGTCTACGAAATGAACCTCGGAGCATCCTTCTAGCCTGGCGCTGCCGTCACAGAAATGGATTGCACAAGTATCTTGCTGCTCAGTGGAGGGATGACCCTCGAATGGGAGGAAGCCAGGCAGGAAAAGACATTCGTGACTTTTAGAAATGAAGTGTTAATATAGAAATGGTCCTGGATGTCCCACATTGGAATTTTTGAGGTTAGATTTGGTTAAAAACAGAAATTTCAGAATCAGAATTTATTGGATATCGTATTGGACGTTCCATACCACTCTTACCTTTGTTAATAGTGTATTTTCCTTAAGATGCTTCTGGCCAATTATTCATCTACAATATCCAGAAGGGCCTTTGTGAAGTTTTGAACGCACTGTGTCCCGTCTTCCACTTAGCAGTTTTCTGAACCTACACACCCTGTGCTCTGAGCAGGCCTCGGACTGTTCTGCATCCTCATCTTTGTTCCCAGTGCTCGGTCTGCCCCCATTGTGTGTGTTCATACGCACGCGCGCACACACACACACACACACACACACACATTCTTCAAAATTCTTTCTATCCTTTAAAGGTCAGACATTTCCTGCATGAATCCTTCCCCCTCTCTATGCACTTATTATACTTTGTATCTACCTTATAGCATTTGTAATAATTTGCCTTTTGGCAGGTCAACAAGTACCCTTCTATTGCATACACCTCCTCCCACCTCTGTCCCCTGAGGTTGTCTGTTGATTTGCCTGGTTCCTTTTGTACTAGCCATCGTGTCTGGTGCTAATCTGTAGTTTCCTTTAGTCCTAAATTCATCATATCCCTGTTTCTAGCCAATTTCGACTGGTAGGTTAGATATACCCCAAATTTTGCGCCCTATCCCCCCCATTTCCAAGGCAGTGACCAATGAGCCTCTGCATTAGTTGGCAAGGCCACTGGAAACCAGAAAAACTGCCCTCGAGGTAGGAGACCCTAGAGCTCAGCATAGAGGTGGGGAGGGAGAACAGTGAACTCCTGATTGTTCCCAGAGCTTCCCAGTACACATATTTGGGACTTTATTCCATTCCATCGGAAAGGGTTCCCTAAGTTCTACACATAGAAAATATCTGCTCTAGGCTCTCCTTCTGTAAGAGAGACAAGCCCTTGATTAGGCCGTCTTCTTGTATCCATTATTGTAGAGAGTACACCAAAAATCGAAGTTCCAGAAAGAGGCACACATTTCACATGGAATTCACATTTCCAGAATTTTCTATCTCAGATGTGAGAGCTGAGAGGCTGTGATGTCTGTTGCTATGAAGGACTAGTGAGCCCGGTTCTGCTGACCTAGCCCCCGGGGGCAGCGCCTTCTCACTGCCCCACATGTGGCCTTCCCACAGCTGGCAGAGAGGGAGGGCCGTCCAAGGTGTGATCCTGCCCATACTGTCTTGCCAAAGCCCCCAAGTAAACTCGCAATGCCCCTTGGCCCAAAGAGGGTCACACTGCCAGCTGTTTTGCCCATCCGTCTTGGATGAGTCCTGCTCTGATTGCACACCTCTGGAGAAGAGGCAAACGAGTGAGAACGTCGCTGGGATCGTTCGCAGGAATGCCGTAATTTTTCAAATTCTCTCTTCTTCACCTCCCTCCGTGGCCAAAGAGCAAGTCTGTCTTGGGTAACTTCAAAACGTTTCTTATATTCCTCCCAGAACTTTAGTCTCACTAACCCTAGCTTAGGGCAAGCCCATGTGACACACCTAGAGATAAGGATATATATATATATAGCTTTAGATACAGATGGTAGGTACATTTAAAGTGAACAATTTAATGGTTTTAGTGTATTCACAGATAGGTACAGCCTTCTCCACGGTCAGTTCTAGAGCGTTTTCATCACCTCAGTGAGCAACCCCACACCCTTTAACTAAAACCGCCGCCTTATCCTCCCACCTGTTCCTTAGCCCAGAGCTACCAATGATCCGTTTTCTCTCTGTAGATTTACCTATTCCAGGCATTTCATCAACATGGAATCATCTGGGTTATTTCGTGACTGACTTTTCTCACGTAGCGTAATGCTTTCAGGGCCCCGCTATGCTAAAGCACATATCGGTCCTGCATTCCTTCTAACGGCCAGATAATACCCCCTCCTGGAGGTACCTCACATGATAGATTTCCGTCCGTCAATTGATGGACATTTGGTTTGTATCCACTTCTTTACTGTCATCAATAACACCGCTACGAACATTCTAAGTGTTTTGGTTTTTTTAACTTTTTTTTTTAAGTCTAAGTGTTTGTATGGTCATATGTTTTCATTTCTCTTGGGTATATACCTAGGAATAGAATTGCAGGATCACATGGCAACTCTGTGTTTGCCCACTTGGGATTTTTCAGTGACCTCCTGACTGGTGTCTCTGCCTCTAATTCCCAAACTCCATCCTTGCTAGTAGGCTTGTGTGACTGTCTTTAAAACAGTGCTTTCACCATGTTTTTCTTCTACTTAAGATCGGCAGTACTTTACCATTGAGAAGCTCACCACCAAATCCTGATTTTTTTCACCTAGCTCAACCCCTCCATCAATGACCTAAATATACTTGGCTTATCTAACTGTATCTTTCTTTTTTTTTTTCTGGACTCTAGGTGTGCATCCTCTGTGCCATTCTGCATGGTCCCCATTATCATCTACATCACAATGATTATTTCCTGTATATTTTTTAAATATGTTTTCCGTATATAGAATGCCATTTGCACTCCCCCGCCTATCTTCTAAACCTCAGCTGAAGACTATCTCTCCTAAACTATCCACACCACTCCTGGGCCCAGTCGTTCCTCTCTGTTCTCCCAGGGAATATGTTCCCTCCCCTTTGTTGCTATTTTAAGTGGTTGAGTAGCCTTAGCCATTTAGGGTGTTAGGTTCTCGAGGCAAAGGGTCACGCTACCCTTCACACACCTACACCTTGGGAAGTGGAAGGTTATTTTGGAGGCAGGATAGAGAATGGATGAAAAAGAGGTTAGAGGCCCCAACAGCAGCTGGAGGCCATGCTTGTAGCTGGGGTGTGAATGGTGTGAAGAAGGACTTGTCACCAGGGATAACACAAGAAAAACAACAAATGATGACTCCCTGGTTGCCAGCTCGTGGGATCTGAAGAACGAGGGCGGTGCCGTGGATCCCAGTGAAGACATTGTAGGGAATACCGAGGTGATTCCAAGCTGGGGAGGGTTTAAGCTGAGGAGAAAGGAGATGGTAAAGGTTATGTGCCCTTGTGCTATTTTAAGGAGATAAAGACTCAGGAGCCATCGGCCTAGATGTCCAAGCCCCACTTCCTGCCTCCCCTTGTTCTCATCATCCTACTAACCCCTGTGGTTGCCTCTGCTCTGGGTTTATTCCCTCTTACTTCCCTTCACCACCTCTCCTTTACCCTTCTGTCTATTATTATCTCCTCACTTCCTTTTCCCACTTTTCTCCTTCCCCATTTCTTCATTTCCGTTTCTGTCACACAAATCTAATTTGTCTCCCCCTTTGCCATCTCTCCTTTTCTCTATGCACCAATCTTGGTCTTGTTTCTCTCCCCAGCAGAGAACAGTTCCTCATAATTGTCTACCCTTTTTCCTTTCTCTCTCTTCTTGCCTTGCCTGCTTCCCCCCCAAACACATACAGACATGCATGTGCACGCACGCACCCCTCTGTATGTAATGGTGCCCCTTGTCACCCCTGCAGGAGATTCAGCAGCGGCATGGTCTGGCCAACTCCATCTCTTCCTACCTAATCAAGCCCGTCCAGAGGATCACCAAGTACCAACTGCTTCTGAAGGTAATGCCCCTCCCTGCTGTGTCAGTCTCCCCCTCCCATACCACCCCCTTCCCATACCACCCACCAGGTCCAGGGAGTTCCTGCTTTGCCCAAGGATAGGAAAGCTGACCCCTCAAGACCTCTCCTCTAGCCGTGAACTCACACTGGCTCTGCTGGCTCCTAGACTGCATGACCGTGAAATTCTAGGTGCCAATTTGTTGGGGGACAGAGAAGAAACATGAGCAGGAGCAAGGTGTGACTTTTCACACCTACCTGGCACTGCACATTTGGAGCAGTTGCCACCTCAGGCACTGGCTGACACGTAGGGCCCCACTTGCCCTTCTGGCCCTGGGGCAGATTCCTCTTGGTGGCCCCTGCTTCCGGTAGGATCAGGGTTCAAGGTCTCAGGAGTAGAGCCCGTCTACATAGGCAGGAGAGGCCCAGAGTGGAACCTGCTATTGCCTTAATCTCTGTGTTTGTCAAGACTATGAGGCTTTTGAGAGAAAACCCTCCAAGAGTGCAGATTAAAACACAATGGCACTCTTGTGTCTGGAGGATCCCATATGTTAGGTAAGGGTTCTTTTGGAACCAAGCAAAAGATTTGGATTTTCTCCAAAATATTTTCTTCAAAATTCAAATAATCAAATTACATAAAATACTAAGTAATTTGGGCTGATTCTTTTTAGGGAAGGATACACTTGCCATCTGAAAATATGGTATTTCCCCCCACAGAAAGCCTGGAAAATCAGTATTCTAAGCAGTTATGTAATGCCTATGTATATTAATTCTCAAGGTATAAGAGTAGAGTTTTCCCTAAGTTTGAATATTTTGCTAGCGGCTCCTCAAGTGCAAAGGATGAAGGGATAGTGAGAGGCATGTTCTGGGAGTTTAGTTCCAGAGAAAAGCTGCTGAAACTCAACTCATGTTTAGAGACGCTTGTAGAATCTCACATATTGTGGCTTCGCTAATCCTGAAAAGCAATCTAGTGTCAAATCTAGGTTTCTGGTCACCCTGGAGTCTCCCTGCATAGCGCGTGTGGTTCCATGAGGAGAAGGGTGGGACCACCAGCGACCCGTGCCCTGGACCTCTCCCCACTCTGGGTCAGGGCAGGGACTAGTTCCACCCATCCTCTTGGCCTCCGCCTTCAAAGGTCCTCTTTCCTTGTCTCCAAGAAGAGGCTTTTTGGGCTTCTGCTTCCAAGCGCTCGAGTCCTCCAGGCCTGCAAAGATGGCCTTAGAGAAGTAGCACAGGGCTTTGTGCCCTCGGCCTTGACAGAGGCCTTGTATGAGAAGCAACAATGTGCAGAGCATATTGTCTATTTGCACAGAATTGCTTTTGAAGATGTCATCTTTGTTTTTTGAAGTTCCTTGTATAAAGACTCACAGAAATTCCCAGAAGACCTCAGAGTCGAATGTGGGGGTTCTCTCCAAAATCATTGGTGTACTCTCTACCTTTAAGTTACAAGAGCTTTAGCTCCTTCTTTTGCCTTTGACTATCAGATAATTAGCACTGAATCCCGTTACGACTACTACTGTGTTGTTACTAACCCAGATTTCTGTGTATGATTATTCCCTCCTTCCCTATCCCATCTCATGCTTGACCCTTTCAGTGATTTTTCTTGTACCAGAAGATTTGTTAAAATTCATTTTTGGTTATTAAATTTAAGCATCCCAAAGCCTTTTCAGGAATTAATGGGGTTGTAAATTAAGAAGCAAAACAAAACAGAAACTTGCACATCCACATCTCCAGTGCCTTAAATCAAGTAAGATCCAGAGAAATACAGCTTTTCACTTCTTCCTTTAAATTCCCAGGATGATTTTGTGACACAGATAAGAGAAGGACATGGACGATGGCCAGGCTGCCCTGTGTTTTGCTTTAGGTGATGGAGGGATGGGCTCTGGGCCTTCATTTTGTAATTGGATGTTTTAGGAAGAGATGGCTGTGCAGGTAACTGAGAAGGGAAAAAATGAAGTAATGGGAATTTGATTGTGGAGAAGTTGTAAAATTATTGGGGGGAAAAAAGACTTACTAAGGTAATTTGTGACCCTTACAAATGCTCCGGTAGCAGAGTACCTGCTGAGTAAAAGGAAAACAGTTTGCTGAGCTTTTACTATAAATAAATAATGTGGGATTTATTTTCTCATTAAAGACAGCTTTATTACAAATATATTGGTACTTAATTATTAGTATCCTCTGGGGTTTCCACTTTGGATGTTGCATGAAAATAAAAACTGTATGTCAATTGGTGTTCGATATTCTTCGTGTAAATCTGCTACAGCTGTCCTTTTGGAATCTAAATTAAATGTGGAGCCTTCTCCTTCATATCAGCTATAGCAAGGATCTGAGGAGAACTTGCTGGCTTTGCTGGTTGATTGGTGGACTTGCCACATTGCTTTAGGCGGTTGAGCCAATGGGTATTTTGTTTTTGTTTTGTTTTGTTGTTCTTTTGCACACTGAAGCATATTTCTTCTTTATCTCTTATACTCCTGCCTAGAAATCCTTTTGAGGATGTATGAGAACAAGGTTGGGAGAATTAAAATTAGGAAAGGGATGGGGAGAATCGGAGAACTTCAGGTTGGCATAAGTAAATGCAACTTTCTGAACAATGATGCCGTTATAGTGGCTGGAGCCAAGGACAGAACTGAGTACTGATCAATTCCACCTCCCAGACATGCTCGAGACAGTTCACCGCTCCTTTGGACACTCAAAGCTCCCTTCTCCATATGGGAATGTATACAAGATGACACAAAGGATTGGATTTTCATGTCAGATGCTCACTAATCAGATATCTTACCAAGTATAAAATTTTACTAATAATTTTAAGGATAAAAATAATCCCAAGCCAGAGATAAAACAGAGAGAAGTCCAGGACCACCAATAGCTCCAAGTCCTTTCTTGAAGCATCAGGATGTGCTGTGGCCCAGACTAACATACACACTGTCTAAATGGTGTATGTGGTATCAGATCATTTACCCTGAACAGAGCATTTTGGTTATGAGATATACTAACTTTTTACTTAGATAGTTGCATAGCATCTGTGATATTTTACAGGGAGCCATGCCTAAAACCTAAAGCCATAGATTCAGGTTTGTTTACCACAAGAAGTCTTAGGCTAGATATATCCTACTAGAAGCATTCTATAGATAAGGACTCTTCTGTTAGCTAGTACCATTAGTTTTTTTGCCAGAAGGTCTGACATTAATGTGTTTACAAGATTTGATCTGGTCACCTTCTGTATCTTACCCATCCACCTATCCCCTGTCTCCCTTTACCCCCTAGAAGGAGACAGTATGGGTTGCAGGTCTTTTGCTTAATTGTTTCCTTCCCAGTTTCAAAATGAGCAGAATTTATAATAACCCTCATAAGAAAAATGAAAGCCAACATTCCTCTGGCTTGGGCAAAATCACTCCAAATGGTCCTTATAATTTTTAAGATAGTTGAAAATTCTCTTTTCTCCATCACTAGATACTATATGTCTTTTATGGAGATGACAATGACCTAGTCTTCAATGAGGAAATAAGAGAGGGCATGCTCTGGGAAGTCTCAGTGTGGTGGAGGTCATGGGGGACAGGGTTGGCATGGCGGATGCAGTATTAGATTTGGATTCTAGATTTAAGAGTCCAGAAGGACTAGTCCAGAATCCCATCCACTGGGCCCAGGTTAGGAACTCCTGATTTATATGATATAAAAATATTTTATAACTCTGAAACTCTTATAAACCTATAATGTCTATAACCCCAGGTTGCTCCCAGTATGGCGGAGCAATTAGGCAGCAGAGGTATGCAAATAAACATGGTACCCCCAATAGGCATGCAGGGATATATGAGTGCTGGCATTCTTTGCACACCTTTTATCTTCTCTTTGTGATTCCATAGATTCTGTTTGTGTGCTTTGCCAGAGGTGTTCCCTTCTCCAGAAGGGTAGTCAAGTGACCGAGAACGCCTTAGTTGCTGACTTACAGTGCCAGGCATTTGAGAGTCGGGTTGAAATTAGTTAGTTTACATTAGATTGAGCTGAGGAAGCTCAGTCGTGGAAAAAATTGTGATTGAATTCTTTGGAGATGATCCCCCACCCCACCCCACTTTCCTTATAGCTTAGAGGAACCATTACAGAGAATGAAGTTGGTCTATAATCACCTTGATGCGTTAGGTGGTGGGAGGGTGGGGAAGCTGAGACAAATGGTTCTAATTATATCTGGACTTTTTTCCCAGGAACTTTTAACTTGCTGTGAAGAAGGGAAGGGGGAGCTCAAGGATGGCCTGGAGGTGATGCTCAGTGTCCCAAAGAAAGCCAATGATGCCATGCATGTCAGCATGCTGGAAGGTAGCTGTCTGTCCTCCCAGCCTCCTCGGGGCAGCCTCCTCCTTTCCTAAGACCAGGGAGCTTGTGTCATGGGAGGGAAGTGGCATGAAGTCAGACAAGGGCAAGGCTGGAAGTGAGGAGAAATGGCAAGTGAGGACATAGGTCCTCAGGAGGTGTGAGAGGAGCTCCACGGGGGCCAGCTCGGCCAATACCTGCCTCCAGGAAGGACCAGGTAGGACCGGGCCTAAGTTGTTTCAGGTGCTTAGACAACTCACTGCATGTGAGGTAGTCTAGCCCAGGCCATTATCCTTGCCATAAATGTACTAGAGCCCTGACCCATAGCAGTCTTGTTTGTCTGCATAGCATTGGCATTGTGTTTGTCACCAGAATGAGTAGAAATCCTGCATGCATGTGCACACACCACACACACACACACACACACACATGCCCCCAAGGACGTTATACCCTTCATGTTTTTCTATTGTAATAAAATACACATAACATAAAATTTATCATTTTAACCATTTTTAAGTGTACAGTTCAGTGGCATTTTATACATTCACATTGCTGTGCAACCACACATATGTCCTTCCTAACAGGAGAGAAAAGTCCAGTCAGATAGACAGACCTGGACTTCCAAAGTACATTTAGTCCACTGGAACTGTTTTCTTGGGACCCAGAGACCTGGTAGGATGAGACTCCAATAAAGTGCTCTTACCACTGCAGGACAGATGTGTGGATCAGCCATGCTGGGGCAGAGTTGTTAGATGACTCAGCGTCCCATTCTAGCCTGGCAAACCAGGTGTTAAGGGCCCTAAGTGTCCTCTGTTGCAACTATGCAGACTTGTGGGCTGTTTTTCTCTACTGGGCTCCATCTCCCATCATCAATTCCCCTACCACCTGCCCCACCCTCTATCTAAAAGACTTGGTCTGGTCTCACTACTTCCTGGGCCACCCTGAGCATAGGAAGCTCTAATTCTTTGTGCAGTGGAGCCCTAGTTGCCTTCTCCAGACTGAGCACTAACCATCTAAACATATTCCTGTTGCCACAATTTCTCCACCCATCTCCTTTCTGTTTGCACACAATCCTCCTCCCCACCCCTGGGTGTTCTCCTCTATAAGCAGCCTTCTCCTCCACCCTGTCCCTGACCTGTATTCTGAGTCCAGTTACTCCAAGTACCGTCTGCAGATTGGCAACAGCAACACCTGGAAGCTTGTCAGGAGAGCAAATTCCCAGGCTCCACCCCCACAGCTACCAAATCCCAGTCTCCTGGGAGCAGGGCTAGGTGGGAATCTGCGTTTTGACAAATCTGCAGGTGATTCTTATGCATAAAAAGTTGCAGAACCTCTGTTAAAATTTAAAGTGGAATAGATATAACTGTTGAGGTTTTATGCAGCACACTCTATAGGAGCCATCAAAGGGAAGAGTCCTAGGAATGGAATATAACAAATAAAGCAATGGCAGATAAAGTGGAGTTGAGGGTCGCTCCATCCAGCAATGCTTGTCGTCAGCCCCACTCCACGGTTTGACTCCGTGGAGAGCTGTCGAGGAAGAAGGTGACATGGGGTTTGCCCTCGCAGGAGGTCCCAGGCCTTTGAGAAGATGCCACTAATACTGGTTATGTGTAGGAGACCTGGTTCTGGAAGGGGGATCTGCTTACTGTTCCCTGGAGCCATCTACTCAAGTATTCAGGAGTCTCTGGAATCAGCCGAGAGAGAGAAAACGTCTTGGGAAAGGAGGGCTCACGGTCAGGGAATCTTTTCCAAGGGGGCTGTGGACCATGGCACCCAAGTGATGCTAGAGCAACTCCACAGGATGGAAATGGGTGTCTTTCAGGGTTCGACGAGAACCTGGATGTTCAGGGGGAGCTGATTCTCCAGGATGCCTTCCAAGTGTGGGACCCAAAGTCGCTGATCCGGAAGGGGCGGGAGCGGCACTTGTTCCTCTTTGAGATCTCCTTGGTTTTTAGCAAGGAGATCAAGGACTCTTCAGGACACACGAAATATGTTTACAAGAACAAGCTACTGGTAGGTGGGGCAGGTGGGGTAAGACGAGTTTCCCTGTTGTCCTAGAGCCCTTGGGTAGGAAGGGCTCTTGAACACTCAGCTCATCTCTCCCCTGGCGCCACACCCAAACCGTCCTGGACAAATGAAAAGGCCTTCTATTTGCAAAGCTGCCCCCTTGCCTCCCACTTCTGCATTTAGAGTTCACCGTCTTCTTGCATTTTAGAGTTCACCGGTCTTCTTGCTGTCTGCTTTTAGCGCCTCCCTCTCCGCCCACCCTCCCTGCCACCTGCTAATCTGGCAGGTGCCTGTAGGTCCTTTCATCCCCGGTAGATGAACGGAGCATCCAGTCTGTTGAAGTTTGATTGACAGAAGCCCCTCCCTCGGTCCTCTCCTCTGTGTTGCCTTTCCCTTCCCACCCCAGCCCTAAGCTCCCCACTGCCCTCCCCTTCCCCGCCTCTCATAGGCATTTCCTGTCTACAGACCTCAGAGCTGGGTGTGACGGAGCACGTAGAAGGTGATCCCTGCAAATTCGCCTTGTGGTCTGGGCGCACCCCCTCCTCAGACAATAAAACAGTGCTGAAAGTAAGTAGTGCTCTCCGCTGGGCGCCAGCGGGTAGCAGGGGGAGGGCAGAGGGCTGGGACGGATTATTCCTGAAAGCTGGGGCTGGGGGGACTCCACCGGGAAGGCCAACATCCCATGAGTGTTAAAATGCGAGGGCTGTCATGGAAGTAGACTAGGGATCTCAAAGACCAGTGGTCTCCTAAGCCCATCCGCTCGTGTGCACCTGGAAGGGGGGAGACAGGGAGTGGCCTACTGGGCCATTAATTCGGTCTGTCTGTCCCCTTCAAGGGCAAGGACAACTGACCTTTCAACAAAAGGTACCTTGATTTGCTCCACATTAGTTCAGTACTTTTTCCTTGAACACCTTCTACGTAGAAGGTGCTGCTCAATGCTGCTCGTAACTATGTATGAGAGATGGACCTTGTACTCCAGAAACTTACATTTGAGAGCTCTAGGACATCACTCTAGCGTGGGAACTATGCTGATTGAAAGGAGTGCTAAGAAAGGGCCTTTAACCAGATGACAGCCATAAGGAGTCATTCCAGCTCTCCAGAGCGCACACAGCCTGGCCATTGAGGCTTGTGGTAACGTACGTCTAACCACGAAGGGGTCCTGCAGATGGAGCTCCCACCAGTCATTTGCTTATCGGGGTGGTTGCCACCAAGAAGAGGTGGTCCAACCCTGACAAATGCTTCACCCTTGTTCACTCTGAATTGCCAGCCTAGCTGCTACCTGCCATGAGACAGAATTACCTGAAAATTACCTGAAAAAAAAAATTACCGCAAATGGGATATTCGTGAAATGGTAGAAAGGCCTTCAATGAACGTGTTTACCAGGCGGAAAACCCAGCACTGACTTTCCATCAGCATAAACCTATTATGTATGTAGCCATACTAGGAGTTGAACGTGTTGACATGGATCTGTACCACTTGGTAAACAGCTACTGCCTTCAAATGCCCCTTGCTACCCCTCCCAGTGCTCCCAGATCTCCCCAGCATCTAGCAACTGATGTGTTCATCTCTGGCCCAACAGGGGACCTCAGTCCCAGGGAAGATGTCAGTATTTTTTTTAACGATTTTTATATATTTGAGAGACACAGCGAGCATGGTGAGGGTGGGGGTGGGGAGAACAGAGGGAGAGGGAGAAGGAGAAGCAGACCCCCTGCTGATGCAGGGCTTGATCCCAGGACTCTGAGATTATGACCTGAGCTGAAGGCAGATGCTCAACCGACTGAGCCACTCGGGCAGATGTCAGTGTTGGTCAGTGACACGTAGGGTATTAAATACTTTGAAAATCATGCCTGTACAAGTCTACACTGAGTTTTGAGGTCTTAGCCCCATTCTAGGAGTTGAAGGAGTGTGTCCCTGGGATTGAAGAGTCATACGTGTAAAGTGAGAAACAAGCTTCTCAGACATTTGATGTCCTCGAAAATAATGGGCTAAGCCTGTGGGAGGAGGATTGAGACCTGTTTTTGGCAGGGCAAAGGGAGATGGGGTGTTTATTCTTTCTCTCTGTGGCACTCCAGGCCTCCAACATAGAAACCAAGCAGGAGTGGATCAAGAACATTCGAGAAGTGATTCAAGAAAGGATCATTCACCTGAAAGGAGCTTTAAAGGAGCCAATTCAGCTCCCCAAAACACCAGCCAAACAGAGGAACAATAGTAAGAGGTAACCAGCATCTCTCCCCCCAGCACTGCTTCACATGCTCCGGGAGCGGGAGTGGGGTCGCCCTCTGCTCCCACAGGGGCTGGCGATGCGCTCTGCAGTTGGCACCCCCCTCTGTGAAGTCTTCTTTATGATGAGGAATCTCCTCTTTAAGTATCTCACCAGTTATTGTCAGTTAAATTGAGCACCTCCTATTTCACAGAAACTGTTGGGTGCTCTAAGAAGAGAAGGGGAAGTGCATGATGAGCCCTTTCCCTCGACAACCATCCAACAGTTGTATCTCACATGTGGAACAGTTAGACAAGAAGAACCAGTGCTGTCTGTGGGGACAGTAAATGCTGTAAAAATTCATTGAGAAGGGACTTTAGATGAGTGCTAAGGAGTGTCCAGGGAACACTTTGACAGGAAGATAGGCCATGAGTGGATTGTTTAGACAGTAAAGGAGTTTTGCATAAGGTAATGGTGGGAGAATGGTGTGGTGGGGTTGTCACTGCAGCCCTTCTGTAACCCTCGAGTCCTCACTTTCAATTATTTGAGATAATCAAGATGATTGGGCAGAAGGGGACTGATTTTTGTATCCTCACCTCTCTGGGCCCTTCTGAATCCCAGTTGTCCTACCCTGGTGGAAGACTTCCTCAGTGTTTGTTTCTCAAGTCTCCATGTGACAGTCACCTACAATGACTCTTTTAGAGGGCATTTCAAAAGAAAGCCTGTAAAAACATCATGGTGACCTTGAAAAAAAAAACAAAAAAAACAAAAAAACAAACCAGAGTTCTGAGGCTGATGGTCCTTGGTAACAACAGACTTGCCTCTCCTTCTCTATTCATGAATGGAGGAAATCCCAAAGAGCTAGTTGACCTTTTGGTGCCAACCAGGATACATGGACCTGATGACCTGCAGAGAGGCAGCATTAGTAGAAAAGGAGGTGGTAGCCAAAAGAAGAGTATGACTAAGGTAGGGAGAGATACCTCCATGGGGCAGAAGCCCCAAGACCTGCATGGCCAGGATGAGGTCACCTCTCAGTGCCGGAAGGACAAATTATGGCTGTATTGGAGGAGGGGTTACTTTTATTTCAGTTGCCCAATATCTAGAGTCCAGGGAAGGATCGGGGTTAGTTTAGCACTAGAGACAGGCCCTACTCAGGAAGCCCCTAATTTAATAGAGAAGATAGAGTAGAAATGTTATAAGAATTCAACGTCCAGGAGCATGCAGGAAAGGATGGATATTCAGGCGAGGTGGGCTCAGGTGTTTCTCCAAAAGAGCCCCTTTATCCTCCAGTAGTAGAGTCTGAACATCTGTAGAACACGAGATGGATATATCTTAGAATTGCCTCCCACTGTTTCTCTGTCATTGTCCTGAAATAAGAGAGTGAAAACCCTTGGCAGACTCTACAGTGAACAGTCAGGCTGTCTGTCATTTCATTAGCTTAGCTCCCAGGAGGTGGGGACAGAGTTGACGGAGGAATGAATTAGCTTGGAGAGCACCACTCCCACTCCTGGATGGGCTCCCCACATCCCCCAAAACTGGCTTCATCTGCAGTGGACCAGAAGGGCCCACGATGGGCCAGAATGATGGGAAGCAGAAAGTACAGCCAACTCTCAACTGTATGCAAATGGTGGGGAACAGCGGCCCAGATATCTGAAACAGCAGATGATCTAAAAGTTCTTTATTCTTGGTTTTGAAATGCATCACATGATTTCATTTTACAGCAGATCTTCCTTCCTACGAATATGTGGCTTATATTATTAAAAATAAGTTGGCATTTCCCAACCCCACAAGTGGTGGTGAGAAAGCAGTTGACAAGTGTTCTAGGTAGGAGAAGACCCTTTTTGTGACCAGCAGAAACTGTGTATATATGTATGTATCACATGCGTGCCACAGGCACCACACCCGTCCACATACACCAGACTGTAATTGTTTAGACTCTGTGAGGCAGCTTTGTATATGGGGCATTTTGCCCACGTCGTGTCATCCTTAGGCAGCAAGTTCCTAATGCCATTACCTCCCCAGAAGCAGCATTAGGGGTGGGACTTTCATAAGCCACCATGAGAAGAGCTGTCACTTTTTGTGCTAATTTATCCAAGTCCGCATCTCCTTTAGTTTTTCCTGACACTGACCATTCAGCCTACACTAGTTCCCAGGCGCCTAATCCCCCTTGGTCCTGGCTATGGGTTCATTGCAGGATTTAGATGTAATTCTTAAGCTGGAGAATTGAAGGAATATGTGAGGGGGACAGCTACATGGTCCAGCGACCCAGGAAGGGCTCCAAATGCCAGGAGTGCACTTGAGATTATCTTGCCAGATGCTCAGGAGCACAGCTGACTCAAAAAGCTGCCATGCGGTCTGTGGTCTTTGAGATGGTGAGATGGTGCCTTCTGTGTTGATAAAAAGTCATCATAACTAGGCACGAGATCAACAAGACCCACTAAAAGGAAGGAAATAATCCCTTCCTCCATACCCGGGAGTTGAGCTTCCAACATCAGCAACTTCCCAAAGATGATCTCCCCTGGAGGAAAGAACTCACATCATTTTCTTGAACAGGAGAAATACAAATTAAAAAAAATCAAAAAAAAAAATCTTACCAGCTCTGTTTATAGACCAGCTATAAACTAACCTCCATCCTCTTTCAGCATGCAGAGAAACTATTTGAAAACATTGAACTCTGGGATTGTCAGCCATCCACCAGTCAGCTGAATAGAAGCATAGGTTCTAAGTAGGATGTACCTCTTCCACTGCCTATTATAGACCCATTCCCAGGAAAAAAATAAATAAATAAATCATCACCTCCTCTGTACCATGGGCCAGAGGAGGTGTGGAGGGGCCATTTTGCCATTTTGTGCTCAGTTATCAGCATAGGGATTGTGTGCTTTTTAAGTACAAGGGGTAACATCTCTGAAAATCGTACAGGGCTGCTCCCTTTATGGGATAATTTTAGACAAATCCCTGCTAGAAAGTGCTGAGGCTCTGCTCTGACAGCCCAGCTGGAAATCCTTGTGTGCTCTAAACCCACAGTGGTTCCCCCCACCCCCACCCCTGTTTTTTTTTTTCTCTTCTTCCTGCAGGGATGGAGTGGAGGATGTTGACAGCCAGGGGGATGGGAGCAGCCAGCCAGACACCATCTCCATCGCCTCTAGGACCTCTCAGAATACAGTGGACAGTGACAAGGTAGGAAAGTATCCCAACCTTCCTTCCCCTAAGACTTCTTGTTGCCTTAACCACCCCTGGAGAATTGCCCCCAGAGGAATTTCTCCCACTACGGAGCCCAACCTCAGGAGCCAGTTGTCTCTTTGTGTCAGCCAAAGTGGAAAGAGCAGGGCTGGAGGAGGTATGTCACAGTGTGGAGATGTTGTCTGAAAGGATAGAAGACCAGGTGGTCACCCAGACCTCTCTTGTCATGAGAGTCTAACAGAAGTGACGAGGGTGTGGTAAGGGTGAAGGATGAGAGGGTCTGGGTCTCCTGTCCTCTGGAGATGCCCCGCCTGGGCTCTGCCTCCTGGGAAGCCCGACCTCAGGGGGCTGAGGCTGGGATAGTTTCCTGAGACCTTCTTCGCTCTGACTGGCTCATACCTATAATGATTGAATGGGCTCATCTAAAGTTAGACTAAGACCACTGATTTGGTAAATGAGCACAGAGACGCTGGGTGGTAGGGCCCCTTCTCTGAAGGGGCTCCAGTGGAAAGGATGCCTTCCTGACCAGAGTTTCGGGCTCAGTTCCCAAGGGGCAGAGAAGATCAAGAAGCGTGGAAAGCAGCTTGGAGGGATGTAGTAGTCGTGTGGGAAAGCCTGGTCACTTGGTCTCTTAGATTTCGGAGCAAGTAAGCAGAAGTTAGGAGCTCTGAAGGAGAGGACAAGAAAGAAGATTGTAGTGAAGACCCAGTGTATTTGTTCAAGCCAGGGGAAGAAGTCAGCTGTCTACATTTGTAGCAGGGATGGAAGGATTTTTGTCTCCAACCCTACTCTCATGTGCTTACCTCAGGGTCAAAGAGGGTGAGGTGATCTTTTGCTGCATGTTAGTGATTTTATGAATGAAGGTATGGATTTCCAAAGACTATCTGGCCCTGCTCTATTAAGACCTAGTATGTTGGCCTAGCACGTCAGCCTCAGGCAGCAGGCTGTGTGTCCTTGCTTCATTTTTGTTTTCTACGTCACGGGGTTTTTTTTGAAGATGATCTGCATTCATTAGGATTTTTCCTAATTTTTTTTCTTACTGGGGAAAAACAAAGACTGTGCCCCAGACCTTCCAAGACTATGGTGCTAAAAAAAAAAAAAAAAAAAAAAAAAAAAGACTATGGTGCTACATCACGCTCTAGATAGTATTCAAGAACATTTGGGGTCATTCTGTCTCACATCCTGCCTCCAAGTTTCTAAACCATTTTTGACTACCAGAGTGGATGGAAAATTGGGGTTTTTTTTCCACTTGTCAAAACATGCAAAGAAAACTATTCCTGTACTTTCTCCTCTGATCTGTTGTTTAGAAACGTAACCTAGAATATCCTGTGAATGAGTGCTTCTTTTTAAACAGTCAGTGGGTAGGAAGCAAAATGCAATGTTTCCCATGTTCAGAGAGAGCCTATTAGTTTCATGGTCTAGGGGATCCATCCCTTCCAGCTGCTACTCCATCTTCCCATAGCCCTGACTTAGACACAGACACCTGTGCCAGAGCCATTTGTCTTGTCTTTGGCTCCAGCCATTCCTTGTCTTCTGGCAAGATGAGTAAGGTTAGATTAGAACACTTCTGATGGCAGGCATGTCACTATTCATGAAGAATTCTAGTTACTTACATATTATTCTATAAATAAGGAAACTGTGGCCTGGAAAGTTTGGGTGACTCACCCAAGAAAATCCTAGTAGTTAGTGGAAAAGAAGGAACTAGAACCCAGATCATTCTGCTAGACTGTCATATCTTTCTCTCACTCTAAAGGTCAAGGCATGATACTACTCCCAATGCTAAGACTGACTCAGCTGGTCAGTCTTTCTGCACCTTCCGCAAAAACATTAGTCACATATTCTTGAAAAAGCACCCACCACGTGCCGAGCTCTGTGCTGGATACTGTAGGGAGATGTGAGCTATTTGTTGAATGTGAATCCTTATTTGTGTAATTTCCGTCCGATGTGTGTCTCTCGAGCCAGGCTGTTAAGCCCTGACGAGGGCAGGGTTGTCTGTCTGCTTCAGTGCTGTCCATGGCCCCGCAGCACACGCTGATGCTCAGGAAGCATTTGTGGAACGAATGAACAGAGGGAACATAGTCCCCGATCTCAGGAAATTCCAGTGTCAGGAGGCAGCTAAAACAGCTGGTCTGAAAGCAGCCCGAAATACAAACATTGTATTTCTAAATATACTAAGGAAGCCTAGAAGTTTCCTTACCACCAAGCAGAAAGCATCAGTCAGCTGGAGACCTTGGCCTGTCGGGAACTGGAACCCCCAGCTACCTTCTCGGGCCCTGGGAAACATGGGCAATGGGTCCGGAGATGATGAGAGATTCTGTGCTATATACACGAAAACCTGAAAAATCACCTAGAAATAGTCACACTTTCAGAATAAAACAGAGGGCCTGCTGTGGCTACACACTATAATTTAAAATGTTCTTGCTCGTCTGACGTGGAACAGTGATACCAGGACAGCCATGTGTCCTCTTCACCTACACTCCCCTTCATCGGGCAAACATTAAGTGGTATCATTGAGTCCATAGGTGTTATCCACAGTGCTAAATTTTCCCCTGACTGTACCAGAAGACCAGGAGACAGATCTCTGTTGGTTTCCAAGTGGTCAGGTGAACAGACTCTGAAGAACAAGGTCATAAAAATGGACCGATTCAGGTGAACCGAACGAACCATATTCAAGAGAGTGGCAAACAAGGACAGCTATGGGAGGGAATAGGGCAGAGTCACCTCACAGGAAGCAGGGTCATTTAACAATGGGTTTCTAGAAAAGACCCAATCCGGAGGAAATAGAACAGTGGCACTGCTGTGCTGGGTAGACGAGGAAGATGTAACCATGAAAGAGCCATGACAGTCCAGCTTGGGAAGCTGTGGGACCCTCGGGCACCTCCCCAATCACCTCGTGTGTATTTTGTGTGCTGTGATGGGGTGGAAGGAGTTTGGACACACCCCGGTGCTTACCTTCTGTGTCCTGTTGTGTGAGTTACTATGCCTTAGTTTCCCTGTCTGTAAGACAAATACATTTACTTGGCACCCGTTAGACACTCAGTAAGGGTTAATTTCCCACCATTGTTCTGGGGGAAACTAAAGGTCAGACACTCTGGGTAAGAGTCCCCAGTTATTTAACCAACTGTGAGGATCTACTTCTTGAGTTCTGCTGTCTTCATTCCTTAGCCAACTGTCAGCAGGTTCTTTTCTATTCTACACCTGAAGGAATGTAGTTTCAACTCACCTGTCTGTAAACGGAGCAACTTTGCTCCTCTTTCCATTTGCTAGCCCTCAGAATCTAAGGCTTAGGCATTTGTTGTTAACAGTGGCTCAAGGGTTATTTTAGTGGTTGATGGATTATAATCCATTACCATCAGGTATTCATTTTGATCCTCAAGTTGCAGCATCTCGGGCCAGTGGCAATCCCTGAGCTTTAGATATTCAAAGATGGTTGTCTTGACTTCTCTCCTAATCTTCTGCTTAGAAATCCTCAGTTTCTCCAGCTGTTCCTTGTGTTAATGTACTTTCATACCCTCCCATATCCTGGTTGCCTTCCTCTGGATTTCCTTCAGGGTGGAACGATCTAAAGTGGGGCGTCTGGAATGGTACAGAATGCTGCAGATGTGCTCTAGTTCATACATATATTCAGCTTCTTGTTCTAGGGCTACAATGCCAAGTCTCCTCCCTGCGATGGTACGTGTCTCTAGTAGTGGTTTACAGTGTTGGCTCCTGAAAGCTCCATGCCTGTTTTCACGGACTGCCCTGGTTGCACAGCTGGTTTAGTAACCCGAGTGTTGGTTTGTATCTATTAGATTTTCTCCTGTTTAGTTCCATTGCAGCATTCTAGTATATTTTGAATATAAATTATTTTGTCCAGAACGTCAGCTGGATCTCCCAGCATTAGATAGACATACCGTCTGTGGCTTCATCCAAATTCCTGCTAAAAAGACAAGCTTGAGGGCAGAAGACCAATGCCCAGCTCCTTTTCTCTATAGCAGAGCATCTAGGGTTGCTTACCTGCAGTCCTCCCATGATGAGGAATCCGTCTAATAGTCTTAGTTTTCATTAAATGCTGACAAAACCAGCATGAGTGCTTCAGTAAGTAGCATTAGTCACGTTCCCCCAAGTTGGTTTGGTTTAACCATCAATGCTTCTGCACGGTTGCAGTCTACCTCCCACCTGTCCCACGCAAAAAGTGTTATTTCCATGAAGGCAAGAGGGTGTGCTTGCTTTGTTCTGTTGTACTCTGAGCCCCTTTCTTTTCTGTCCAAAAATATGTTCCTATTCTTCTGGGCATTCCACTATAGAGAGTGTTTGGTCCTGTATGTGTATTATGAAGTGATGGGCCTTTATAACGATACTTCGAAGAAATACAGAATTCTAGAATTCTAGTGAAGTAAGCCTGAGTAACGAGGTGGCAGTGAAGAAGTATCTTGTTTAACATGACGGATGCCTGCCAGATAATTTTCAGCTAATGGCACAGAAGCAGCCACCTGCACAGTGCTGGTCTCTGTGCATATATTTAGTGTTTAGGATAGGCATGCCGGGCATGCTCAATAAATGCTTATTGAACTGAGCATCACAAACTCATCCTAGTAGAGATACTCTCCAACTAAAAAATCACTATGAATTTCTAGATGTGCCAGGCAGGAGATGGGGGAAGTTGAAGTGAAATTGAGTTGCAGATGCTATTCTCTGTAAAAATTCTCAGGGCAAAAGCCTTGCTGGAACATCCCAGGGCTGATTGTGATTTAAATGAAGAATTTCAGTAACAGGCTAATGTGATCTTAAGATACAAGGTGGCCTGAGGATGGCAATGTTCTGAAGGGGAACAGGGAAATGCATGAAGAAGCCTGCAGATTTCAGGATCTAACTTCATAGTTTTTAAGCCAGTGTAGTAGGTCATGGCCAAATTTTTTTTCACCGACTGGTAGGGAAGACTTGGCTTAGAAAGAGTGAGGGCCCAGCTAAGGGGAAAGTCAAAGGATTCCTACAGATGGTACCTATAGCAAGAGGTG